TTTCCGTACCCACTGTATATGTATGTATGTATGTGTATATATATACATACATCTATATACATACACATATATACATACATACATCTATATACATACATACATATATATATATATATATAGATAGATAGATAGAGGTCAGTGGCCCTTGGCTGGGTATTGTTGGCAGAATTCGGCCCTCGGCGAAAACTCATAGAGGAACCCTGATGTACAGTATGTGGAAAATAATGTGTTTTTTTAACCTTAAACCGCCTAAACACATTTCATTACACCAAATACACAAAATAATGTTCTTTTTAGCAACATCATATGACCCCTTTAAGGAACTTTTTCCATTTTTCCCCCCTGTATTGTAAACACATTAAATGGAACAAATGATCCATGGAAAGAATAACGCAGCTTTTGCTCCAAGTAGCTCACCTGAGAGACACCATGTTGCCAAGCTCTGCTGGCAGGCTCCTGATCTTATTGGATGACAGGTCCAAGAACACAAGGTTGTGCAGCTTGGCAATTTCAGGTGGGATGCGTGACAGGGAGTTGTCACTGAGATGCAGAGCAGTGAGGTGAGTGAGCGACCAAAGGCCCGAGCTGAGACTCCGAACATTACCTGAGACATAAACAAACATTAATAAAAATATCTCTTTTGTTAATATGTTTCACTTCATTGCAGAAGTGATCTGAAGTTGAGATTTCTATCAGAGGGTTTACTTTGAGACATACCAATTATTTCAAGCCCATCCCAGATGGATTTTTTCCCACTGTTTGCCTCCTCACTGGACATGATAGTGTACATCCGCCTGAAATCAGGCGGGTCATATTTCTCTGTGGGCATCCCTAGACCACTGTAAGGGACAAATACTTAATCAGATTTATATAACGAGACAAAAATATTTGCATGACATGATTCAGACATCTCAAAGCCTGTTTACAATCCAAACAAGAACACAATTTACACCCGTTTATTTTCTGAGTATAATATGCATAAAGTGCACATGCGAATACTAGGACTATATAGCATATAGTCTATATATGCTGGATGTTGTGTAGAGATTGTTGCTGCTGTCTTGCAAGCAATCAAAAACTATCAATCTATGAATCATTCTAATATGCTGATTTTGTTTAAAGACATTTCTTATTATTATCAACGTTGAAAACTGTTTTTGCAGCTAAATATTTTAGTGAGACCACGGATACATAACTATTTAAAACGTAAAAATGTTTTCCCAAATGTCTTACTTTATATAACAAGCATATAATTAAAAGTAACAAATAAACCGGCAGATAAATGACCTGGCTAACTGGAACTGTCAAAACAAACGTAACTTGACAACTACTAACGTTAGCTCTTTTTAAGACCTAAACACACCCACTACAACGCTAATTAGACTAGAAACAAGTCAAATAATATTTAATTATCCTATTTATACGATGTTGTGCATGTCAAAGAAAACAGAAGGTAGAAATGCAACAAAGCACGCAAGCTAATAAACAACTAGCTCTGTGCTATGCTAATGACCCAATTAAACTCATCAATACTCTAAAATGCGTCCTCCACAAAGTGACATAACATGAAATATCATGTTAATCATACACATGTAAAAGTAATAAGCATCCACTGCGTCTGTTTACTGAAGAAGTAATATTTTCCCAAAGCTAAGTTAACCTGACATGCTATCAGCATTAACCACAGGCTGCTAAAGGTGCAGCCTTCTAAAAGATTTATCTCGATTAACACTTGTATATGTTCAATACAATATTTAGGAAATACGGTGCACATGTTTTAAAAAATAACAATTTTATATAATATTCTCTGCATATGAACAAAGAGAGGCTATGTAGCTATAGCTAACTTGGAAACAAACCCAAACGGGGACTCATGTCAGCAGGAACTCTTTAGAATATTTCAGAATTACCTTCAGTAGCATAACAACTCCTGAAGTCAGCTGTGTGTCTCGCTTCGGCGTTAATTAATTCGTTCGTGTCGGCTGTGCAGCTACGGGAAGCAGCGCAGCATCATGGCGGAAGGTTTTTGTGCAGCTGTTGTGCAGCTGTTGTGCTGCTCTCCAAAACAAGGGTCCATGTGCCCATATCGAGCTGTCTGTTCCAGTCTCAAACCCTAGAGAGCTGCCTACACAGAACGCATCTGTGGTGCTCAAAAATGTTGTCTTGGTATGCAGCTCGTTAGAATTTGAGACGCAGTCATTCTTATTCTACCATTTCATTCTTAATGTTGTCTATAAGTTTTGGATGGAACATGTTCTGAATGTGTATGTTATTGATGTAGATCATTTGCAGTGAATGAGGGGGGGGGGGGG